CACGAGAGAATAAAGAGGCGACCAACATAGTCCAGTTTAAGACCCATCAAACAATAGATCATAGAGATCGAAGGATGAAGAAATCGAAGAATTCATCGTTGATTTGGGGAGATTGAGGTGTTTTTTTGTGTGAAACGGAGGCCGAAATCGTATTTAGGAGGTAAAAAAGGTGCGGGTTTAAAAGTCTAGGCGTAATCGGTCGATGGATACGACGACCGCCGACTGTAGACGTGGCTATCAACGAACCCGTTCATTAAGTTTTTAAATAATGGATACTAAAATGAAACAAAAACTAAATGTTAGGTATGATTTTGAAAATAATTGAAAGTTAAGTATAAAGCGGATCAAAAATTGACAATTTAGGTACTAAACATGTAATTTACCCTAAAATATATTGTTATTGTAAAGATTTAGACAAATTTTCTCCTTTGAACCCACTTTTATGTTATAACCAAAACTTCAAGTGTTTTCAAATTAAAATCAACATTTAATGAAGATGAAGCCTCGAGGATATCTATGTCTTTTCCATTTTCAAGGGATTTTCTACCACTGAGTCAGATCGTAGGCTCCTAACTAATGTTAATGAGATTTTGGTTGATATTGTTTAAATATTATTTCCTTTTTTAATAATTTAAATAATATTTCGTATTTATTAGAGGTATAATAAAAAATAACTTTGTTTAAACAAATTTGGGAAGTCTATACCGATCTTGAGTCTTTCAGTAATGATTTGAAATCTTATTTATTGTATTTACCTCAACTTCTCTTTCTTTTTTACTATGGGGTTTGTGTCCGTATCATTTACATGGTTTGTCAGGCGCTAGTATTTGTTTATTGATTAAAACACATATCCACTGCAGATATATTTGGTAAAAATAGGAATTTTTCAAATACAATTTGTTAATATATTTGATTATAATTAAACTTTTTATTTAAAATTTTAGTTTTGAGGTTAAATAAAATAATTTTTTAAGTTGTACATGTTACAATCGAAAATGTTACGTTTATCATAATATTCTTTATTGTATGTCTTAAACTCATGTAATGTAATTTTTCGATTGCAGTAAAAAATATTATAAATTTATATAAATTTTTAGGTTAACTATAATCATATTTTAAGTTAAAATCATCTTAAATTAACCTTAAATTATATTATCATACCGTAAAACGACGCGCTAAAAATCCACATTCTCCCTCATTTGTTTTCCTTTGCCCTAATCCCCGTAAATGAATAACGTAATATTCATTAGTTTATACAATCAAAAAGCATCAAACGAATTGATAAAAGAAAATGTTGTTCTATTTACAGGTATCGGATTTAAACAATTACGTTTACGTTGTCAATAGTTAAAAGGGTAAAGTACACAAATGGCCCCCGACTATATGATATTACTTTATTGAGTCTATCGACTGTTAAAAGTTATAAAATGATCCCCCAACTATAAACTATTGCTTTGTTGAGTCAATCAACTATTAAAAGTTATAAAATTGGCACCTAACTGCTTTTTATGTTTCAAACTCATCATTTCCCGTTAAAAAATTGACGATCGTTCGAGCTGGACGTTAATCTGTTAACTGAGATATGATAGTCGTTTGAGATTATGAGATCATATTTTATAATATCTCAGTCAACATGTTAACTTCCAGCTCAGTCTATCGTCAAATTTTTAACGGAAAATTACGAGTTTGAAACATATGAATAGTCGGGTGACCATTTCGTAACTTTTAATAGTCGAGAGACTCAACAAAGCAACACACTGTAATCGGAGGACCATTTTATTAATTTTAATAGTCGAGCGACTCAATAAAATAATATCATATAGTCAATAGACCATTTGTATATTTTACCCTAGTTAAAAATGATTTTAAATATACCTTCTTATAGTTATCCAAAATTATTAAAAAGGTATCAATATATTTTAATTAGTTAAATAATTTTCCTGATAAGATTAAGAAATCGATATTAGTCAGATTTTGACGGCTAAATTTCTAAGAGAAAGCTAAGCAACATTATATTTAAACTCGTGACGAATAATTGCTTTGGCTTTGTCTTTGTTACCACCTGATCAAATAAAAGCCTAACGTGCAGTTTCCTTGGTCTTACGGTTACAGCGAAAGGCGGCTTAAGCTAATTAAATTTACAACGCAATTAAAAGCAAGACCAAACTTCAAAGATAAATTATATATAATTAAGTTGTAATCATGATTTTAGTATGTTGAAATTTAGAATCCAACGAGTAATTTCGATAATAAAAAGATTATTGCTTTTTCTTAAAAGATTTGAATTTGAATAGTTTTATCTATAAAATGTGTCATCTAGACTATTCAAAAAATATTTTATTAAAATTTAAGAATTAATTTCTCTATATTTTTATAAAATAATCTCTTTATTTTGATTTAATATTATAGATTAAATTAGTCTTTTTAAATTTATAATATTATTAGTTTACATAAACTAACAACACCTTAAGTTAAAGTGAAAATAGTATTTTTTATATAAAATTATTTAGTCTCATAATCAAAGTCATTAAAATTTTTTCAACGGTATTCAATTAATAATAGTACGAACCAAGTGACTTTGGTGGTAAAAAAATTATTATTATTCATTGAGGTCTTGGGTTCAAGCACCATGAATGCCAAGTGTATTAGCGTTCAATATCGAATATACTACTTTATACTTATCACAGATTAATAAAAAACTAATAATAAATTGGGTAAAATACAATATAGTTGAAGTACCATTTTGTAACTTTTAATAGTTGAAGAATTCAACAAAGTAACTGTCGAGACGTTTATTTGCCCGGTGACGAAAAAAAATGTGTACACAGATAAGTGTAATTATCTCGAGAAAATATAAGTGTTTATCTTCTTTGAATCAGATAAAACACTAATTTGAAGAGTCGCCACCAATCATTTGTTAAGGTGTGATTGGTCATCAAAATGATATGTTATTTTAATGAAATAATATTAAAATAACATAACAAGGGTCTGCTTACCAGAAAATAAGTTCGGGAGTCGGTTATGTGTGAGGAAAGATTGACACCCCACAACGCCCAAAATTGGTCCATTTGTTTATTAATTAATGTCTTTGCAATAAATTAACAAATTTGTATTTAATTTTAATTTATGATCCCATTAAAAATACATTAAAGATATTATTTCATGCCACAAATCATTTAAAATACCTTCCTAATAAGTTAAGGATATATTTTATGATTTATTGCATAAAATAATATAAAGCAAGTTTATATAAAAATAAATTTAAAATTATGAGGATTAAAATGTAAAATAATAAAGCTTTATAGATATAATTAGAAATATTAAAAAAGTTAGGTACTATTAGTGTAATTTAATCATGAATACTACTCGTGATTAAAATATAAATTACTAAAATAACAGGGACTAAATATGTTATTTTACCTAAAACATGTATAAACATGGTAGTGACTAAAATAAAAATAAATAAAATTCGAAAACAAAATTAAAAAGCATAAAAACCTAATTTCGTGACCAAAATGTGAAATTACAGAACCAAGGGGACCACAGATGAGATTAAACCATTCCCGAATTACACAGATAGTCCCTCCCCAAAACGCCGCCGTTCGGGGAGGGTTTAAATAGCCCAAAACCGACCCTTAATGGCCATTTCTCTCATTTGGTTTCTCTCTCTTAGAGAGAGAAGCTCTGACCTCTCTCTAGGATTCCCTCACCGGAGGGAATCCGACCACCGACCGGTCGCCTATCGCCGATGCCAATAGCCGCGAAATTTACCCGAATACACCAAAACGCTCACTGTTTTTCCCTCGACTCCGATCCGATCTTCCCTTTTTCTAAAAGTATCCCAATCAACATAGATCTGAGATTTTACCTTCGGTAAAATGGTGTTTCTGACGATGCTCGGGCTTCGACGAAGGTAAGATCTCCTCCTTTTCTTTTTCTCTCTTGACTGTTGTTGCTCGTTGTTTGCTCTTGTTTGAATGGATTTCTCTGCTCGTATTTTTTCTCTTCGTTTTTGCTGTATGTCCCTCTCCTTGTGTTCTTGCAGGATCAGTCGCCTTTTATAGGCCTTGGAAATTGGTCGTAATGATGGCTTTTTGGTGAGTCACCAGAGTTACAGTGGTGACTCACCCTAGAGATGATGAAGTGTGCATCTTCTATTATCCTTATGGAGTCTTCTACTGAGGCGGTGGAGGCATGGAATCAGTTGGTTGGAGCAGCTGGAGGCGGCGGCCGAAATAGGCCCTAGGGTTGTAATGAAACCCTAGGTTTATGCTGGACAAATCTGGGCCCATGATCTTTGTCTTGATCGAACGGTGGAGGTGAGCTGGCGGTTGGAGATGTGTTGTGAAAACCCTAACTGCTGAGTTCGGGCTCCATAAGCATGCTTGTTGGGCTTTCGGGTCTGCACTGGACCTGGATATGCTCGAGTTTGGTTGTAATCGGGCTTCAGGGTTATTTTGTATTTGGGCCTTCGAGTTCTATTGTATTTGGGCCTTCGGGTCTTGTAATTATTTGTAATAATAATATAATAATAATAGTAATATAATAATAAATATATATAATTATATTATAATAAAACGGGAACAGACGAAAATGACTGTCGACTGTAACATCTTATAGTCAGGAGATAATTTGTGTACTTTACCCTAATAAATTTATATTAATCAAAGTTTTAAAATTATTTAAATAAAAATTCACATCATCACTTTAATCGGGAAAACTAATGGTGTTATTAAATTGGACATGTTAATAACATCATAAAAGTAAACAGACCTAATTATATTGAATCAAACTATATGAATTGAATCTCAAATTTCAGCATAGCAGCAGGAGTAAAACCACAATTAGACCTATAATCAACAAACAAAAACCTAAGTCATATTATAAGAGTGGGAGTAGGGCATATTCGTAACTTCAACTATGCCATAAAATATAGTTAATTCTTTCTACTTTAGTGCATATGAGTATGTTGTTTTTGCTATATAACATGCCGTTGTCCTCCATTAGCCACAATTCATTCCAGGAGAGAGGAAAGAGAGAAAACAAAGAGTTCGAGTTAATTTCAAAGACATGGGGAATAGTTTAAGATGTTGTTTGGCCTGTGTTCTTCCCTGTGGAGCTCTAGACTTGATCCGTATAGTCCATTTGAACGGATATGTCGAAGAAATTACGGGTCCGATCACGGCCGGCGAGATCCTCAAGGCCAACCCTAATCATGTTCTTAGCAAACCAACCTCTCAAGGTGTTTTACGTAAGATTTTGATCCTCTCGCCTGAAACCGAGCTCAAGAGAGGCAACATATACTTTTTGATCCCGTCGTCGTCGTTGCCGGAGAAGAAAAAGAAGAGTGTGCACCACAAGAAGCCTTCCAATGATTGCAACAAGAACAACAAAAGCGTCGTCGCTTCGGATTGCGATCCTTGCCTAGCAAACGTCAAGGTTTCAGAGAAGAAACATTGCTTGCGAAAGGAACGCCGGCACAGCCGTGTCGGATCGTGGCAACCGCATCTGGCGAGCATCTCCGAAGACTGACAGCCGTGCCGGGATCTCATTAACGACAATCATGCAATGGGGACTTTTAAAAAAAAAAATTATAATACGTGGGGTATTGGTTTTGTGGATATGGATTTACTTTTGAATCCGTTTTTTCTTTTGGATCTGTCGGCGTATAACAATGGCAGATTCGAAATTCCACAATGTCATGCTCCATGGTGGAAACTATATGACGATGAGAGTGAAATATTTGTATTAATTGGTATTGTATTTACACCCTCAAGATGTAAGTAAAATGTGCTTCGTTTTTCCTTAGTTGTTTTCTTTCCTAGGGCTGTTATTCTTTGGAGGATTCGAATTAGAACATTATGTTAATATCATGTGTTGTTAATAAGTAAAAAGAATTCTAAACAATTATTACATTATAATCACCTTAGAAATAAAAATAAAAACAAACTTCAATTCTTGTTATAAAATTATCTGAATAATAAATGTATTGTATCATATAATATTATCTCGAAGTGAGAGTTGTCAAGTGCTTTATTTCTCTATGATTAATGCATAAAATTGCATTAAAGTGTTAGAATCGGCATATTAAAATAACATGGAACTTGTTTAAACTGGAAGGGAGTACATAGATTAATGATTATTGTTTAAGTTGGGAAAGAGTTGAACTTGAATTCATTCTCTACTTCATACAACTGCTAACATGGCCCTTGTCGCTAAACTCTCTTTTTATAATCCTCTCTAGTTTAAAGTAGGTCACAAATAATTAAAATCAATTATTATGATATTCACGGATTGACATAATAGGTTGTCTGAATAATAGTTTCTTAAAAATTTTAAATATTTTTATTAATAATTTATTCTCATTTTCTTAAAATTTTATAATTTAATTCTCCAACATAAAATCCTTCATTTGTTTACGATAATATTGGTCTATATAAAAACCCGAAAGGTAGTAACTAATGAAAAATAATAATGAGAATAATAAATTATTAGAATCCAATTAAATTAAATGGTAATTGTTGTGCACGATTGAGATTTGAGAAAGACGAAAACCGGTATCATTATGGGTTTATTTTATTGAAAATGAGAAACTAAAAGTTGATAAATGGCGACATCTACACGCTACATATAAAAACAATAATAAAATAAATGCAAAAAACAAAAACAAGCTGGCAAAGATTGAATAAATAATTCAGTCTTCACATGGATGATGGATTCCCTCATAAATAAATTTTTAGACAAAACTTTCTCAACTCTACACTTCCTTATTAGTTTATTGTTTTAAATGTTTTGGACCACACAACTAATTCCTTGGTTTTAGTTTTTTCTTCTTCTTTTCTTACAATGATTTAACACATTTGAAATTCATTTGGGTGGACTTAATAATAAAAGAAAATGTTCTTCTTTTTAGAAATCCCGAGTTTAAACTTTTACATCTATATGGTGTAACACCCTTAACCCGTATTCGACCCGAATATGAGTCTGAGGTGTCACATTGACTTTTCAAACATTGTCACTTAAAGAAAAATAGGGAAATTTTAAACTTTCATTTAAAAAAAATACATTAATTTACATAAAAGAGATCACGAAATACAAAATCGACTAGAGCATTCGTAATTAACAACTTATTAAATGCCCACACTCTATACACAACCCAAAATACCTACTTTGTCAATTACTTATGATTTGATCTTTTAGTAGTGATGCTATTTTTGTCACTTCTAGTACTGCTCTTCTTGTTTCCTGGTACCTACGTGTAAATCACTTACACGCTAAGTCATAGACTTAGTGAGACAATAAATAAACATGTAGCTATAGATTCATGAATATGCATTCTTACCATTTGATCATGACATTTCAATATGCATGTATACATTTCACTATGACCGATATAATCATATCATGTACATATGAAACTTATCTTCTTGTATCACTTTCACCTTAATTTATCTTTCAATTGCCTATGTACATTATTGAGAACAGAGGTATTTGAGTACATTGAGGTTGTGCACTAATGCTGTCACCACAACTCAATAAATTCCCTCATGGGGCATTGAACATATGTTCAGTATTTGTCCTGAAGGACCACTATGTCCCGAAGGACCACTGGATACGTCCCGAAGGACCACTGGATACGTCCTGAAAGACCACTGGATACGTCCCTAAGGACTAATATACCATCGACTCTTGGCATGCCAACTATACCTATAGCTCCCGTATCATATAACATGCGCTTTAATATGAATACATTTCTCATTTCATATCTCTTTTATCACTTTTCATATAAACACATAATCTTTTCCATTATTTCACATACCTGGATTATATTCTCTGGCAATGATATTCGTTCATTCAATGTCATACGAACATATAATGAATTATGCATGCAATCACTATTACAATAATATATGTATGCATATACATGGGTATGAAATCATTAATTCAACTATCATAGATAGACTTATCACAAGTCTTGTCTCTATACACTTTAACTATAAAATGCACTCACCTTAGCCTTGCTTTGATTCGATTCTAATCCTTCGATTGTTCTGGAATAAGATTACGCTCTAAATCTACATAGTAATACATGGATACTTATCCGCATACGAATTGATATATTCCAAAATATTAATCCTTAGGCTAAAAAAACTATTTCCATCTCTTATTGAAGGTATGCATCGATGCACTACACCATGTATCGATGCATCCCTTGACGGGTGCATCGATGCACTACCCATGCATCGGTGCATAAATCATATTCGATGTTTGTATTTTAAGCAGGTGCATCGATGCACTCCTTATGCATCAATGCACTAATGACATTCGATGTTCATTTATTTTAAATGAGTGCATCGATACACTCCATGTGCATCGATGCACCTTCAACAAATTCTCATATTTTCTCTTGATGCATCGGTACACGTTGAATGTGCACCGATGCACTCTGCCCAGAATTCATTTCTTGAACCCGAAAACTTATCCATTTCAGCTTAAATCTTTCATGTTTCATCCCCTTTTATATTCTTAACTCCAGTACGCATACTTAAACCAATCTATACTCATTTATTTCATCTTAAACCTCAGAATCCTATCCTCCTTGTGAAATCCAAGAATTATACCAACTTTGCAACATGATTTAATTCCACTTATAACCCTTAATATGTCTTAACTAGATTGATGACAAGTCAAATTTAACTTCTAATTCTAGATATGAACTATATTCCAAGATTTCATTCAAGAACCTCTAATCTTTAATCTTTTCTAACTCTATCATCCTTTGATTTTAAGATAACCTAAGCTTTCCTTAAGCTTAGTTATCATCTAATAATCAAAAACCAATCTTAAATTTAACAAGAAACTCAATAATCAGAAAACTCACCTTTGTCTTGCTTTACACGTACAAGGAAGAAAGAAGAAGAAAAGAACTCTGGAAGCCTTTGTGTTCTCCCCTCTTCAATCCACGTGGATACATATATAACCCTTCTTTTCTTATTTTCTTAGAAATGACCTCTTTGCCCTTCTATTCATTCTTCCTTTCAATTCAAATCCATACAATAATTTACAAAAAAATCTTTATACTATTCAATCATTATATTTTAATCACCAAATTATGAGACTTTACAATTTAGTCACTAACCCGGTATTGAGGATGTTACAAATCTCCTCCTTAAGAAAATTCGTCCTCGAATTTTTATTACGCAAAGAGATAGGGGTACTTAATCCTCATATCCTCTTCACGCTCCCATGTTACTTCCTCTACTTTGTGATTCCTCCACAAGACTTTAACCAATGGAATAGTCTTGTTTCTTAGTTGTTTAACCTCATGAGCTAGTATTTGAATAGGTTCATCTTCATAAGTCAAATTTGGTTGAACCTCAATCTCTTCAGTATTCACGATATGGGATGGATCAGATCGATATTTCTGAAACATTGAGACATGAAAGACATTGTGTATCTTTTCCATTTCAGATGGCAAAGCTAGCTAATATGCTACTGATCCTATTCTCTTAATAATCTCATAAGGTCCAATGAACCGAGGGCTCAATTTTCCTTTATGTCCAAATCTCAGAACCTTCTTCCAAGGAGAAACTTTAAGAAACACTTTATCTCCAACTTGATATTCTATTTCCTTTCTCTTTAAATCTGCATACGATTTCTGTCTATCAGCTGCTGTTTTGATGTTACTATAAATCACTTGAACTTTTTCTTCCATTTCCTGAATCAACTCGAGACCAATAATTTCTTTATCATTAAGCTCAAACCAATTCAAGGGCTTACGACATCTTCTTCCATAAAGAGCTTCATAGGGAGCCATTTTGATGCTTGATTGATAACTATTGTTATATGCAAATTCAGCAAGTGGCAAATACATTTCCCACGATCCTTTGAATTCGATTACGCAAGCTCTAAGCATATCCTCCAGAATTTGGATAGTTCGCTCGGATTGTCCATCGGTCTGAGGATGAAATGATGTACTAAAGTTCAACCGAGTCCTCAATGCTCCATGTAATGATTTCCAAAATCGCGATGTGAATCTAGGATCCCGATCAAAAATTATGGAAACAGGTATACCATGTAAACGTATAATTTCTCTAACATATAGTTCGACATATTTATCCATGGAGAAATCAGTTCGCACCGAAATAAAATGGGCTGACTTAGTCAATCCATCTACAATCACCCAGATTGAATCCTTTTTGTTCAGAGTTAAAGGTAACCCCGTCATAAAATCCATCGTTACATTCTCCCATTTCCACTGAGGAATTGATACTGATTGTAATAGTCCCGACGGAACCTGATGCTCAGCTTTGACTTGTTGACAAGTCATACACTTTGATACAAATTCCGTAATGTCTTTCTTCATTCTAGGCCACCAATATCGACTCTTGAGATCCATATACATTTTGTTTCCTCCTGGATGCAGTGTTAATAGACTACAATGAGCTTCCGTTAATATATCAGTCTTTAATTCATTATTATCTGGAATCACTAGCCTCCCTTGATAATATATGTTCTCATCCATTTTCATCTCATAATTTGTACACTCTTCATTCCTTATTTGATGTAGCTTCTTTGAACACTTCTCATATCTAGCATGCAATACTCTAATTTGATCTAGCCATGATGGCTTGAGAGCCAATTCCGCATATATGGCACCGTCTCCTCTTAACAATAGTCTAGCATCCAAAGCTCGTAAGGCTGCAAACGTCTTTCGACTTAAGGTATCCACTACCATATTCGTTTTTCCTGGATGAAAATCGATCACTACGTCATAATCCTTGAGAAATTCCACCCATCTTCT